AACTCCAAAATATATGATAGTGGTCTGCCAGCTGTTCTCCACGCTTCTGCCAACACAAACCAGTCGTTTCACCTGTGTGTGCATACTTTAACATGGGGGTTATAAAATATCTTTATAGGTTCTGCCAGCAGAATCCTCTCCAAGCACCTGAGCTGGTGGAGGTCAACAGCATCAGACACAGTCTGCCAATCATCCTCTGAAATGGAAAACTCAGACTCTTTCTCATACTTGCATTTCGATTTATTACTTGCATGTTTTTTCCACTGACTTGATATTTGAATATAATCTTGAAACAAGTCTCTTATTTTTGTTAATAAATTATTAAATTGGCGTCCTTTGTATTTCTGAATTTTATCTTGTCATTAGAGGAAATGTTAATGTGGAAGTGTGAATATTATCCCATCTATAGGTTTCCTAGATTTTCGGTAAGCTATGTAATCATCCACGTGATGAGACTGAACCGTAGGAAGTTGTACCATTTCTACTATTTAAACCTCTAATCGATTATTCCTGGTGTGAAATAATTTCATTTTAGTATTAAACCTGAGTGGATAGGCCATACCCTGCCTATCTCTGAATTCCTCATTAACCCTCTGCAGCTTGCCTTCACTTCTGTCGGTGTGTTATTTTAGCCAAACCTAGTGGAGAGCCACTTCTGGAAAGCTTCTGAAACACGCTGAAGTGGAATCTCAAGCATCCACCATCAGCTCCAGGAGACTCTTCCAAGCTGCAATTCCACAATGCAGCCACGCTCGCCAGGATTCAGATAACAATCATTCGTTGTATATACTCAATCATTTGTCTGTTTTGAACAAGCAGCCATTTATAAACAGCATGCATGCAAGCATACTGGGGGGTCCAGTACTGGCTCAAAATTGCATTAATTAAAAGCTAGAATCACAAAACACTTGCATTCCCGTTCTTTTACTGGAAATATTTCCAATTCAAAACTAGGTCTTGTTTTCCAGCCTTAGTCTTATTGTGTAACCCCCTCCACTCTCAACACCACTTACAACAACACACACATACACACAGCCTCTGTTTCCTTTTCACCAAGCCCACAGCGTAAACGCTGTAAATAAGCAGGCTCCTATCGACACCGGAGGCAGGCTGCTATAATAAAACTATTCCAGTTTTTATTGAGGTGTAAGCTCTGTTGGCGTGAGTAAACAGATTCTCCCTGGCATCAGCACTTCTCCCCGGTGCACAAACCCTGCGTCTAAGCAACTGTGGGCTTAGTAACAGTTGCCATGGAGACACATTCTTGTCAGCTTGGCCTGCATCGAGGGTCAAAGGAGCGAGAGCGGCGGCGAGATATTGTGATATGTGACAGAAATGATGATATCAAGGTTGATACAGTGCTGTGTAATAAACATTAGATAGAAACAACACAAAGAGGGAATATCAGAAATAATGAAAGAAGAGCAGTAGGTCCACTGTGGCCTCCATGAAATATTCTATGACTTGTCTTTGACTTTCCTCAACTTCATCAGAGCTTTCATTTATTCCCTCCAGGTTCATTAATGCTGTTCTTCAACTCAGCAGAAAATGTTCTAAAATTACAAGCAAGTTTCAACACTTTCTGTCTGGGAAAACTAGAAGGAAGCCAACTAACATGTGAAATACATTCTGGTGTTTTGGGTCTGCGCTGGACTTGGATGTTATATCGTTCTGGATGTCGACCAGCAAGCCGCAGCATCTACTGCGGGAGGAATTCTGGACTACAGTCTAGACAGGCTTGGCTGGCCCAGGAAGAAACGGCACAGCCAGGCACGAGGCGCGATTACCCACACACACATTCACTGTTTTTCACACTTTACTACAGTCTGTCACTCTGAGCCGAAGCCAAAATGAGTGGCCAAGGTAAAAGAGGAGAAAAAAAGAGAGGGGAAACTACTTGGAAGTTAATAACAGGAACACAATGCGGCACTCATGCCGTCCTCCTCAGCTGACGACAGGATTTAAGAAAGATGAAGAGAAGTTTTGAAGGATTCTTTTTTTCCCTGATGCTCAAAATACCTTTAATTTACCTGTTAGAGACAGAGCGGCACATTAGGTACTTTGCCTATTTGTTGCATGTGGTAAACTGCACAAATGTCAGGCTAACAAATCAATACAGATCCAGATTTTTTTTCAAATTATGCCTGTTGGGCCTGAAAAGGCAAGAAAAAAAAAATCACACCAGCAATAAGTTTGAAATGACACATCAAGCCGAAGCTTCTTAGCAGTCTAAGGATACACCTGCAAGTGATTAACAACAAGAAATTAGCACTCACTGTATAAAACCACAAGCCAACACCTTTAAAGCTCATGTGGAGATAAATTAAATTGTAAAAGAATCTATTTTGAGTTGCCTTGCTTTATGACATAGTGTGAAGGGTAAAATATACATTCAACTTTAAGTTTTCATAACCTTCAGCATGATTAGCGCAGCAGGCCTGGTAAACGATAAACTACAGTAGACTGAAAGATTGCACTAACTGCTACTGCATTGGTAGGAGTGGTAGAAGAAGCACAGCACAGCAATGACAGCAGGCCAAGCATGTCTGATAGTGAGAGCACCATGTCAGCCTCCAATGACAATTTAGTAACTACAGGGGGAGCCACTACAAAAGCACTAGAAGAGTAGATGGAGATAATTATTGTGGCGGAAAAGGTTTTAAGCAAGTGGTTAAAAGCTTGAAGCCTGATAGAAAGAGATTAGAAGATATTTTTCAGCTTTATTCTGTATCATTACTGTACATTAAGAGTTACAAGGTTAACTAAAGTGTTTAGCGGTTCTGTTATACTTTTACTTAACGTTTCCAGGGAAAACACTCCCTAGGCTAGTTTTGTCCTTATATTTGACGTAGAATAGCAAATGTTTCTTTTTTATTCTCTGGGATTAATTCATGAATGATTTCATCAATAAAACGTATCTAATCAGCACTAATAATTACCACTAAGGCACACAACATACACACCTATTTAATTATTTAGCATTTATCTCATAGAGCAGTACTGGGAAAATTACCGCTCTACCTTTGTGCCATCATGTAACAAAATCAGCAGAAATATATGTCAGTGAGAGAAACCTGTGTTTTTTAGCTATTTTGAAATAAGTGACAATGCTTCTGTGGGCGCTCAGGAGTCAGCAGCACCCACAGAGATACTGCGAGGGAAAGAGGAAGAACAGTAATGTGGTCAATTAAAATTCAAGAATCCTTAACTGCAGTACTTGGTATTGTTACTTTGTTTTGTTGTTTTTTACTAATTGACCTCTACCTCAGTACTTGTATGTACCTCAGTATCGTAAAGTGATATATTGTAGTTAACCAAGGCCACTGCAAAATTACTTCGCTGCTAACAATAACAGAGCTGTATGAGCCTGTTATTCAAAGCCCCTCGAATTTGCCATTTGTCAACTCTGTTAGGTCAAAATGAAGTGACCCATTGTTTTAAGGCATCCAGTGAGCTTGCAACTTTTGCAACGAAGACCATCAAGGCCTTAAGAGTATCTGCATGTGGGAAGTTCAGAACTGAAACTTAACTTTATAAACGAATGGGCACATAAAGAGGTATGAAGAAAGCTGCGTGAAACAAAATACTTGATCTAAGAACTGTTTCCAGAGACGGCAATAACTCCAGGTTATGGATAAAAGCTTAACATTCATTCAGAAGTAATATTTTTATTGTAACTTAATGCTAACTTCTGAATGGTGTATTTTTCCAACCATTATAAAGGAGCACTCCACAAGAAACATTCAACTGTCAGCAGCAACACTTTGCACTGTGGGCTAAATTTACCTTTACTCAGCCTTCATCACTTTAAGATTAACTTCATTTGTTTGATTATTTAAACGTAACCTGTTAAGTTTAGTCTTAGCTTCAAACTCATTAGCTGGGGTGGTCAGTCACCTGGCTAATATTAAAATAATAAGGGACAAGCAGAGAAAACGAGGACAACAGAGCACTATTTCCCAAAATACAAGAAGTGTGAACGCACTGTGTGAACAAATGTAACGTTAGAAGTTTGCACTGTGTCAAAAATAGCCTAATGTTTTCCTAAAGCCACAGACCAAAGTCACCAAGCAGCTCTACTGCAGACACCAACACACTTTCCATGTATAAGACACAGGCAGGCATGCACAGGAGCCACAGCAACTGCTCTATCGTAAATTCTTCTAGGAGGTTATGTGACCCCGTCACAGGTCATCAAGCAGTTTTATATGCATCACACCTGTCCACCTCTCCAACTGGTATCTTTGCAAACTGGTATCCTTGCAGACTGGTATCTTGTCTTTCAAGACACTCTGGGAGTATAAGTTGCACTTTTTCTTTGTTTGCAGATTTGTTTTTTTCCCTTACAAACTAGGTGAGCAGTCAAAGTAAAGGATTGGCTAATTACTTCTACAGGTAATCAATACGACTGTAAAATATCATCAAGTGATTTCACTTTCCCTAAGCCCCACAGTAAAATCTTCACATTGCTTGTCCTGTCCAATCATGAGTCTTACAGCCAATACAGATTACTTCCACATGTGGCGAAAGAAGGCATCGCGTCCATGTATTTGGAAAACTTCAAAAAGCAGATATGGCAGGTCCTACATGGCAAATAGCTGGTGACTCACAGTTTATCAAAAATATTTGTCAATTATTTTTCAGCTGAAAAACCAAAGGATTGAACTGACACATTGTTCCAGGTCAGAAACAGTGAAAGAGACACTTCTGATATGTTTGGAACAATTTTGGATCATTTTTTTATCCTGTGCACACATTTAGCCTCCATTTGCTTCTTGTTGAATGTTGAGACATTTATAAATATTAACGCTTGAGTCAAATGACTAATAACATTTATTTTGATGGAAATGCAGTCGTTTGATTAATCCGATTTCTGAACTTTTCCTCTCCGAAATCTATTAGTCACCACAGAAGCTATGTTTAACAGGTGGATGAAACTGTTATTGAACTATCTTCATAATTTAGTTGGAGCCAGTAATCCAGTCCAGGGCGGATCCTACCTGAGACAGCCGGAGGTGTTCTTGAACACGGTGGTCCACTCTGCATCACGCGGCTTTGAGTCCTCATTGGGCTCATGCTCCCAACCCGAGTGGGGGATTATCACCTCGTTGGTCAGGGTTTGCAGGCCGTGGTTGATGATCACCATCTTCAGGGGTTCATAGGATGACAGATTCCACAAGGTTCCTGCAGGGGAGCACAGATGGGAGGAAAATGCAGAGACGAATTAAGAGGATAGCAATAAGTTGGTTAAAAAAGAGGATTATGAGAGGAGAAAGAGAGGATATACGAAGGAGGCGTATATACATGCACATATATCTGCAAAGAGAGAGAACATTTTAAAAAGAGATGGTGTGAGGGTGGTGTAGCTGACAATTTAAACACAAGAGAATGAAAGAAGGTGAAGCTTGACAGGAATGATGTAGCAAAACAGGCAAAAAAAAAAAGAACAGAACAGAGAAACTGTGCACACAAACTGAAAGTGATGCGATTTAATAACAGCCGTATAACAGAAAAACAAAGGAGCCTACTGTCCAGGCTTTAAGACTGCAATCAGAAACACATTTAGTTTGGCAAAAAATATGTTTTAGAAAAATAATAGAAGACTGGGTGTTCATTATCCAGGCATGAAACCAACGGACCATATTGCACTGTATAAACCCCCCCACTGTAATACTTTTATTATTCTTCCATGAGAACATAGCTGACTGCTACTTTGCTGTAATAAATACAAAGTTTACAGCAGCCGTATCGCTGTGATATTTCTATAATATCCTCATATGTCAACAGCAATATTAGGTTCACAGCGTTCTTACAGTACATCATGTTATTTCTCAGCTGTTGCACGTAATGTGCCGCTCGGATCTCATGTCCTGCAGATATTGTGTGTGTATTGGATCAGGATAAATGATCTGCTTCGGCTTTTCTATCCAACAGCACACACATGCACACCCCGTTTCAATCATCCCTGTCCTCCATTATCTTTCCCAAGAAATCCAAGCAGGAGAAAGAGCATTTTCTAGGTGGCTGCAAATCTCACTAACAGCCAGCCAATTTTATACTTCAGCAAAAGAAAAAAAAAGTAAACTAAATTGAGCTGGGTATGTGCATCCCAGGGCTTCACAAAACAGAGGCAGGCACACAAAGAAAAGAGGGGGGGAATTTTTGGGAGCACAGCCAGACAGCCAAACCCACAGAAAAATAAAATGCCATGTTAAAGCATCAAGCATCAGATGGGTTTTTCACTCAGACACATGGAAGCTGTGAAGCGAGGCAGCCAGTTTGAGGAGAGGAAAACACTTTAAAAGCAAAAAAACAAAACAAAACCCCCCCAAAACCTCGCTCAAGCCCATGTTGGACACGTTCCTGAGTTGTTGTTTTCATCAATCCAGCCCTCAGGTCTCTGTTTCTGCTTCTCATCATTTATCACACCCTTTATTTTCCTCTTTCACAATTTGGTCCTAAAACCCTGTGCCTATGCAGCAGCAACTTAATCCATGCATGCTGGAAAAGCTCTTAGCAACTTGCATTTGCATTGTACTTGTGAACGTGCAAGTACAATGCTTATTCACTTCTGGGTTATGGTGGAAGGGAGGCATCAGCAAAAATCTATATGAGCCTTTTTAGTATGTTTTCTAAAGGAATGTATGGAGGTTTATCATCATCATCAGCTGTAGCTTCACAGCTATAGACAACGCTGTTTACGGTGTCTAAGTCCCACCTTAGTTTGGCATTTTGTTTTTAAAGCCAAGTGACATCCAGAGCATCTAGCATGCCTCCATGAATGCAGAAACTGCAGCCGGATAAGTGCCGACTGTGTTGACGGATGAGCCAAATTTGCCAGCTGAACCACAGAAAGAAACGTTCTTTTTTTTCTCGAGAAAAAAAACGTAGCAGACACCTGTCCTTTTTTATTTCATACAATATCACCGGCTTCCTTGCGAGCGTCCCCACCCCACCCTCTCACTCCAATCTGGTCCACAGGACTAACAGCTGGGGGCTAAGATTAAGATTAAGCAAATATTTACACACTCGCACATGCCAAAGTGCTCAGAGACTCGCAGCTTTTGCACATATAAACGCATTCATATAGTTCTGTATTCACATGCACCCAGAGCGTGTGACTCGCTCTCGTCCCATAAACAGGCCATTAGCAGAGCAGTGAAGCAGTCATACTTCCTGGCACACTTATTTAAAATGGTTTCTGTACATTTTCCAGACGGTCAATATTTCCCCTGTTAAATCATGCTCTCCACTCTGTCTCAGCGGACAGATCTGAACTAAAAATACTTCCAGTCCCTCTGATGTGGTTCTGCCTTGTTTGACCGTTTCCTTTGAAATGTTAAAAAAAACATAATGTAACTAAAACACTTAAGCGGCGCTCTTACAAAACAGTAAATCTTAATTTAGTTCATGACCTTCTTCCGCTCTGCTTTGCCATCACGCACTACCAAGTTAAGGAATCCCTGTGCGTGTGCACGGGTGTGTCTGCAGCTGGATTGCTGGTGAGGAAGCGCGGTGTCGAGTTTAAAGTCAGTTGAATTTTTGGCGTCTCGCAGTTTCTAAATAAACCTCCACTGAATGTAGCATACATTTTTGCTGATGCTAACATGTCTGTGACATCGGCCACTGAAGTGGAAACACCGGAGCTCCACTCGCTGTTTTTTCAGTTGGTGACTAGACTAGACTTCCTGTGCGTCAGAGACCACCAGGGTGGGATGCTATTAGATGTGGAAGCTGGGGTGTGGCTCCACACAAGGGATATTGTGATTATTTCTTTCCTGGGAGGGAGGGTGCGTGTCGTACGATCAGCCGTGACTCTACCTAAAACACTCCACCTGACTCACAGCTTGTTGGGAGCAGGTCACGTCCTGAGAGTAAACACAACCTTACAGGCTAAATTCAGGGAAAAATATCCCGTTGAGCATTAAATCACCAACGCTCAGGTAATTACATTGTAGAAAGAAAAGCATGTTTAATTTTGAGCTTCAGGTGTTTACTGTAAATTTCATACCTCTACAAATTCAATATTGATTTTTTTTTTTTTTTTTTAGACAGGCACTTTCATGGTACGTTTAACTTGGTGCAAAACAAGCTGAGATTTTATTTTAGCATATGGATGTTCTTCCATCAGCAAAACTGAAGCTGTGATCGGAAGAAAATAAGTAAATAGTGCAGTGCTCGCAGCCGCAGGTGTGTTAGCATCAGCAGAGACAGATGTCACAGTCGGTGGAAAATAATTTATCATTTTATCTGAATTTTGGCCTCGTTATGAAGTCACAGTATCCCGTGGCACTATGTGAGTGTGAAACAGATACTGGCGCAGACGACGCTCACAGAATTTAGCACTACCCAACAGGGTAGCATTTCCATCTCATCTGCTTTTTATTTTTCCCCACAGGGTCAATTGTGTCACTTTTCCCAAACAAACACATTCGAGCATCTGAGAGGAAATCTCCGCATCCAGGCATGAATCCAATTAAAAGACAAACGTGCACTTGTGGTGTCTGTACTTTGGTATGATGACAGCTAGCTAACATTCATGCCTGCCATCCTGACAGCTTGATTACTGCCACTGTTGTGTCATTAGCATCAGCTTTACTCGTGACAAGCAAAATGCAACATGCAATCAACTCACAATGAGTGATGGGATCTTAAGAAAGGCAAAGAAAACTTCTCACTGTGCTGTCGGTGTCCTAACAGAAATAAGTGGTGCTAATTTATGACTTTTGCAACGTGCCACAGAGGAGGAAGAAACAGACGGCACTTTAATAATATTCAGACAAAGTCTTGTTCATTCATTTCTATGATTCCAGCATCCAAGCCCGATGTGTATTCCCTGCTATAAGATAAATGGTGCATAATGCCCCTTATTTCAATGGTGCATACTTGTTTCTAGATTGCAGTCCATTTTTCAACTTGGCTGGAAGTGCATACGGCATACATGCATCCCTGATCTGTCGTACCCAGGATGTTGAAAGACTGCTCTGTGCTTTAAAGTTACCAGATTCTTGTTCACCATACAAACTTTCTTTCGCTCCTTTGGTAGTTCACCGTCACCTTCAGTGCTCCAACTGAAACACTGCTCAGGCCGGTGGAATCAGTCAGCTCTGCACAGATCACATATGCCAGAGGGGAGGGAAAAGGCATGTCTTTGCCGTGGCTGTGATCCATCAAGTACGACAGGCATACAGCCCACTGACAGAATGTTATTTAAGATGACAGAGTGCTGTGGAAGCGACCGTCTCCATCCAGCATCCCGCCAGTGTTTCAGGCCAACAACTGTATCAGCTTTAGTCCATTTGCTGTCCTATGTCAGCTTGTCAGAGGTGGGCATGTTAGGGATGTACCGCTGTCTTGCAAGCCGGAGGCAGACACCATGCAATTGTCATGCCAAAAAGATCGGGTTCCCTCATAAACACTCATGTGTGTGTGCTGGTTATTTGATGCCATTCACACCTAAATTTAACAGGCAACATGAACAATATACGCTGTAACCAGACTTCTCTTCACAGCTAGAAATGAAGAACGCTGCACTTAGTTTGGATAGAAACGTCAGCTGTCAAAAATGCACTGCTGAGCTAAGAGTTTCGGTTAATTATTGTATTGGCGCACGATACGGAGCCACTTTAGAGCTGCAGTCAATTTGCATTGATCTAAGCCAAACTGTCCAGGTGATCCAAACCCCGAAAAGTGCACAAGTTTGAGTTTTTTTGTCTAACTTCTGCCTGAACTTTCCACGAACACAAATATAAACTGATTTTCATCTGTCTCTGGAGGTTAAGCAAACTCTTATAAAAGTCTTATAATAGGACACAAACAAAGAAAAGTATGAGGCATTGAGGTCACTACAGTTTATATAAACAAATCTAAAAAGTAAAATATGGGTTAAAAAAAATAAACAATAATCAAAGCAAATGTTGTAGTTGTTGTTAATTTGATCAAATTTTCCATCTCTCACATGTGAAAGTATGTATGCTTATTAATAGGGTGATATTTACCAATCCACCATCCACTTCATTGGGTATAAAAGGTCAGCTGCTCGTTAACACAAATATCTAATCAGCCAATCCGCTGCACCATTCCCTGATCAATAAATTATCATATTAAAGTAATAAAAACACAAAAAACTTCCAAAGGAAATTTTAAAAAAGTGAGAAGAGCAAATCTAGGCTGCAACATAACTG